ATTGACCTCTTTTAGCCGCTCTGTTATTCTTTTCCGTCGCCTGTAAAGAGAGCGCCTGTCTCTTTCTATTTTACATCTACTCCTCCTTTTTCTTAGAGGAATAAGTCTTGTGCATACATCGAGTGCCACCAAGTTAATCTGTTCTAGGCATAGTTGGGGTCTGTGTTGCTTAGTATATCTTCCCAGCTTATATCGGTTAGGACTTGGTTTACTTGGTCCCACTTTATGTTTTTGTTATTGAAGTTGAATTTGGTGAAAGCTCCCTCGTGACTAATCTCATTTTGTCGGTCTGGGGCTCTGCGCATACATGTCTGAACCTCAATTATGTTGTGATCTGAGTATATTGTTTTTGATATGGTGACATTTCTTATCAGATCATCATTGTTAGTGAAGATGAGGTCTAGTGTATTCTCCAGTCTAGTAGGCTCTATTATTTGCTGGTTTAAAATTGAATTTTGTGCAGAGATTTAAAAGCTCGTGTGAGTGTGAGTTTTCATCAGAGCTGCCTCCTGGTGTTATTACTGCAACAATATTATTTGCTATATTCCTCCATTTTAGGTGCCTTAAGTTGAAATCCCCCAGGAGCAAGATGTTGGGTGCAGGAGCTGGAAGATTTTCCAGACAGTGGTCAATTTTTAACAGCTGTTCCTGGAATTGCTGGGATGTTGCATCCGGAGGCTTGTAGACTACCACAATGACTAGGTTTTGGTTCTCGACCTTTACTGCTAAAACTTCCACTACATCATTTGAGGCATTAAGCAGTTCTGTGCAAACAAGTGACTCTGCATTGTACAGGCCAACCCCCCCCTTTTGCCTGTTCACTCTGTCACATCTGTATAGGTTGTAACCTGGGATCCATATTTCGTTGTCTAAGTGATCCTTTATGTGGGTCTCAGTGAAAGCCGCGAACATTGCCTTTGCCTCTGCAAGCAGTCCACGGATGAAAGGTATTTTGTTGTTTGTTGCTGGCTTTAGACCCTGTATATTTGCAAAGAAGAATGTCATCGGACTGGTGGTATTGTTGGTACTGGGGTAATATGAGAATGACATAGCAATGAAAGCCAGATCTGATTCGAAGCTGCTGTACAGCTACATCAGGAGGAAAACAACAGTTAAGGACCAGGTAACTAGGCTGAGGAAAGAAGAAAGGGAGATCACAAGAAACGATCAAGAAGTAAGAAGCTCAACACGAGATTTAGGTATTTTCAGTGGAGACAAAGGTTTTCAGTAAACCAGGATGGCAGGGTACACCAAGTGCTGGACACACTACACACAACCGAGGAAGAGGTGGAGAGACTACTAAGTGAACTAGATACCACAAAGGTAGTGCAACCTGATAACATATCTCCATGGGTCCTGAGAGAGGGAGCACAGGCACTTTGCATGCCACTAACAATTTTCAACACATCTATCTTAATGGGGCAACTACCTGAGGTGTGGAAGACAGCAAATGTAGTCCCAGTTTTTAAGAAAGGAGACAGACAGGCAGCATTAAACTTCAGACCAGTGTCACTGACACACATAGTATGCAAAGTCATGGAGAAGATTATCAGGAGAAGAGTGGTTTAACAGCTAGAAAGAAATGAGCTTATACACGATAACCAGCACGGTTTCAGGGAGGGAAAATCTTGTGTCAAAAATCTACTGGAGTTTTACCACAAGGTAACAGAAGTAAGACAGGGGAGAGAGAGAGAGGGGAGGGTAGACTGCATCTTCTTGAACTGTAAGAAGACTTTTGACGCAGTTCCGTACAAGAGATTAGTGCAAAAGCTAGAGGAGAAGGTAGGAATAACATGAAAGGCACTGCAACAGATCAGGGAATACCTGACAGGAAGGAAACAACAAGTGATGGTCTGTGACGAGGTGTCAGAGTGGGCGCATGTAACGAGTGGGGTTCCACAAAGGTCAGTCCTAGGGCCAATGTTATTTCTGGTATGCGTGAATGACAAGACGGAAGGGATAGATTCAGAGGTGTCCCTGTTTACAGATGATGTGAAGCGAAAACGAAGAATTCAAACAGACGAGGATCAGGCAGGACTACAAAGGGATCTGGACAAGCTGCAAGCCTGGTCCATCAACTGGCTCCTGGAGTTTAATCCCACCACGTGCAAAGTTATAAAAATTGGGGAAGGTCAGACAAGACCGCAGACGGAATACACGCTAGGGGGATGAAGGCTGCAAACCTCACTCAAGGAATAGGAGTACGTCAGGTCCATATTGAAGTATAAAACACAAGTATGGAGCCCACACCTGGTCAGGCACGTTAAGAAATTACCGAGGTTTTCAACAAGACTAGTCCCGGAGTTAAGGGTTATGTCCTACGAGAAAAGATTAAAGGAAATCAACCTGATGACATTGGAGAACCGAAAGGATAGGGAAGACATGATAACGACATATAAAATACTGAAAGGAACTGACAAGGTGGATGGTGACAATGTTTCAGAGATGGGTCACAGCAACAAGGGGTCACAACTGGAAGTTGAAAACTCAAGTGAGTCACAGAGATGTTAGAAAGTATTTCTTCAGTTACAGAGCTGTCAGGAAGTGGAACACTCTGGAGAGTGATGTAGTGGAGGCAGGATCCATACATAGCTCAAGAAGAGGTACGATAAAACTCTTGGAGCAGGGAATGAACCGAGTAACGACCAGCGAGAATGCGGGGCCGGGAGCTACGAATCAACCCTTGCAACCACAAATAGGTGAGTATGCACCCACACACACATCTGGGAGTTTATATCACTAGTTGATGTATACGTTGCTAAATATAAATTTTGCCAGAGGTGCTAGTCCCACAGAACAAATTGTTATAACTATGACCATAATTTTTAAAGGGGTGGATCGGTAAGCCAGCGTAAGGCCACGGTCAGATGACCAAAAGCTCCAATGGCGGGTCATCATATGACTAAGACCCGCGTCAGGAAACTTGTTTCCTGAAAAACCTTACCTAACCTAACTAGTCCAATTTGTTAGTGGATTAAATAGGTCCGCCCCTTTAAGTTTGGTTTGGAAAAGTATAAATAAAATAACCAGGAAAAAGACTAGTAATGTTGCTCATCCCTTCCCCTTCATTTGCATTAAGTTTTGTAACCTGCATGAACTGTATCACTGTAGGCAACAAGAGCATTTCACCCCTCCATGGAAGATGTGTTTATTTAGTATCAGATACCTGCAAGTCCCTCCCAAGAAGCTCATTGTTAGTAATCCCTTCCTTAAATCACTTGTTAAACTAACTGCTCAAGAAGAAATTTCTCGCCTAGCTGGTAGTAATAAGTTATGACAAGTTATATACACTGATGGATCTAAACAGGAGTCTTCTGGCAGGGCTGCATCTGCTCTTGTTGTCACCTCCCTAGTTAAGAACGATAATAAATTTGTTGAGTTAGGCATAAGAATTAACAACTGGGCATCTACATTGTAAACTGAATTGTTTGCAATCCTAATGGCGCTAAAGCTAACTTATGACACTGAGCTTAACTCTATCATCATTACTGATTCTGTCATCATTGAAGGCTCTTGACTCATATAATGTCTCCAACAACATGTTCATTGGAGAAGCCAGGTATGGATACTCAAAAATCAGGGGCAAAGGGATTAAATGTACAATTGCTATGGATCCCATCACACATTGGATTACTCCTTCATGATAAAGTTGACATGTTAATCAAGAAGAGTACCCAGAAGGAGAATGTAGAATATAACTTTGGTATATCTGTAGAAACATTGGACGTGTTTCTTTCCACCTGTTGTCTATGTTCCCACATCAGTAAAATGGGTACCTGGGTGTTAGTCGACTGGTGTGGGTCGCATCTGGGACACTGACCTAATTTGCCCGAAATGCAGAGCATAACAAGGGAGTTTCTATATAGTAGTATGTCATCGTTGTCAGCTAGGACTGTATACCTTGTACATGTACTTGTAGTAAATAAAGATATTATTATTATTATTATTATTATAAATTATTATATTATTATTATTATTATTATTATTATTATTATTATTGTTATAGAATTAGGAATAATATTAGGAGAGAAGTAAATAACGAAAATGACTGTTATAGGAATGCAGTTAGAAGCCTGAGTAGATCTATAACCCACTATGATTACATGGAGGTAGATAAGTATGTTTATGGAGCAACTTGCAATGTGAACAGACTGACTAATGTTGTAGTGGCCAGGCTTAGGCTTGGTTACTAGTACTTCTGGCAGTTTGGGAGACACACAGATGATGATCATATTTAATGCAAATTATGTGATCAGGCATATGGTCACTGTCTTGAACACTATGTGCTTAATTGTCCACTTATTGAGGATTACAGAGATAGACAGTATAATGGCTTATGTGACATGTCAAGATATCTTATCAATGAAAATAAGATACCAGATATACTAAAAAAATTTCCTAAATTTGATTGTAACAGATAAGTGAACTGTAGATATGTATATATATACACCCATATGTGCACCTGTTAACCCTTTTGGGGCCTAGTTCCTAGGTCTTTTGTGTATCAATATGCTCTTGCGCTACCGTCCACAGGATGGATATGGGATGCACAATTATTATTATTGTAATCAAAAAGAAGCGCTAAGCCATTGGGGTGCACAATAAACTAGCCACTTGGGTGGCAAAATCTCTAATCCCACACTACATTGTTATTTGCATGAATGAGAAAAAATCATGAATTCAGATACAACTCACAACCGGCGAGTAGTATATAAAATCATTGTATGATCATTCATAACACGATCGCCTCTTTTGTGAACTTGTCTGTACAAGTGTTTCTGCGGTACAGTGACCAGATGACGCATTTCAAAAAGGCAGATATTGGACGTACTTTAGTACGTATTTGTGTTTTTATAATATACAGATTATCTTAGTTCATTACTAACAAGTTCATAATAAAAGTATTATTTTAAAAATAGTACTACAATAAAAAATATTAAATAATTTACTATTAGTGGTTCATTTGACCAGGCGCAGTTTGTTTATAAACATTCCATGGAGACTGATGTTGTTGTGATGGTGGTACTCACCTAATTGTGGTTGCAGGGTCAAGACTCAGCTCCTGGCCCCTGTGTTATTGCTAAATTGGCCTAATTTGCCCGAAATGTTCAGCATAACAAGGGGCTTTCTATACAGTAGTATGTCATTGATGTCAGCTAGGACTGTATACCTTGTACATGTACTTGTAGAAATAAAGATATTATTATTATTTTTATTAAGGTGGTGCGTGGCCTAGTAGGCAGCGCTCTTGCTTCACATTGAACGTCCGTAGTTCGATTGCAGGTACATGTGGAAACATTGGGCGTTTCCTTCCACCTGCTGTCCCCATTCACCTATCTCAGCTGGGTGGTGGGTGGCTTCCTGGGGCACAATATTGAAGGACCCCAATGGAAATGAGACAGACAGTCCCCGATGACGCACTGACTTTCTTGGGTTATCCTGGTGGCTAACCTTCTGGGGTTAAAATTGAATACCCCATCTTATCTTACCTTATCTTACTATGATGATGGTGCTGCTGTGCTAATGTTGCTGTTATGATGGTGTGTTTAAACCCGCCTTCAAGTTCTCACTACCTCCTCCACTTCCCTGGGATGTACACCTGGAGTGAGTTCTCGTTTTTGGGCTGTATGACCCTTGTAGGTTTAATGCTTTTTGATTATAATAATAATTTAGTTCTTGGATGTCTCGCTCTGCAGTGAGGATCCCCTCCTGAGGTGATCCTTGATACTGTGTTCCTTGATGTGTGTTTCAATTCCTTGAATCAACTCTGGATACCGTCCATCCCCCTGGGTGCTCCCCCATGATTCTGATAATACAGTCATCACACAGAAATCACTCCCTACGAAAGTAAAAGACTGGGCAGGCGATGCAAAATGCCCCCAATAAAAAGTAGGGGCGCCATTGGTACACTAAAAGAAAACACCATAAGTGTCCGGGGCCCAAAACTGTTCAACAGCCTCCCATCAAGCATTAGGGGAATTGCCAATAAACCCCTGGCTGCCTTCAAGAGAGAGCTGGACAGATACCTAAAGTCGGTGCCGGATCAGCCGGGCTGTGGCTCGTACGTTGGACTGCGTGCGGCCAGCAGTAACAGCCTAGTTGATCAGGCCCTGATCCATCGGGAGGCCTGGTCATGGACCGGGCTGCGGGGGCGTTGATCCCCGGAATAACCTCCAGGTAACCTCCAGGAGCATCAGTGGCAGAATTTTCCTGTCATGTAACAGGACCTCTCCAAGGAGGGACTTCGATGTTAGTAAGGGGGCTGTTGATTCAAGGAAGTAGATGTATTCTTGGATTAAACCTAATTGCCTGCAATTTTCCTATATTCTCTATGACCCTTACAGGTTTAATACTTCCCCTAATTATAATAATGATTCTGTTTAGACAAGACAGGATAAGTTTTGTTGGGATTAACCCGGGGAGGGTTAGCCACCCAGGATAACCATGAAAGGCAGTGTGTCATCGATGACTGTCTTATTTCCATTGTTATTCTTCAGTCTTGTCACCCAGGATGCCACTCACACCAGTCAACACCCAGGTACCTACTTGCTTATTGGGTGAACAGAGACAGCAGGTGTAAGGAAACATACTTATGTTTCCACTCAGCTTGGGATTGAAACCCAAACACTCAGTGTGAGGTGAGAGCATTGCCAAGATTCAACTTTAAACTTTATTTTCTCAAAACTAGGGACTTGTATCACTAAGCCATTCCCAAAAAATGTATTCATTCTTCTCTATTATATGTTACAAAACTTTAACCAAAAGAGACATTTCACAGAGCCACCACCTGGCTTGAGTTAACTTTTAACCCAAAATCTATCAATGCCAGTAGATCATATTAGTAAGCCATTCAGATACAATAATAAACTTGCCAAATTTGATTGATACAAGATATTTCTCAAAGCCACTGCCAATTTTTGTGTAGATATAGTGCACTATGCTGTGCCTCAAGGTACAGTTTATTTTGTGATATATTCTCTCTTGTTTATGATTTTAGATACATTTCTCTAGCTTAATGGTAAACAATCTTTTAATTGAATTGCCATTACAGGGGATGTGTTGTTCTGAGATCTGAATAAATATTTTGAATAGATTTGACTTGCAAGCCATTGGCCATAAATGGCAACCTTTTTCATGAGAGGAATTGATTTTAACTATTGTTTGATGAAAGTGATATATTTTATTTATTTATTTATTTATGTCTTTGCGAATAGTACATTGAAATTTTGTATTTACAATAATGGGTTGCAATGCAAAGAGAGCCTCTATTATGCCTAGGCATTATGGGCCAGCTTAACATTAATGGCTTACAGACTACTTGACACTAAGAATTATGTCATAGTTGTACAGTAGAATATTAATTATATCATAGTTGTACAGTAGATTATTAATTATAAGTGAATCTAATTTTTATAAGACAAAAGATATATTCATATATTCAAAAATGCTTTTTGTGAAAACAAGGATTCAATTATATTCCTGTCAACAATGGATAAAAGGTTCAAAGTAATTGTTGAAATTATGATGTGGGAATACATAAGTGAGTATGTGTGTACTGATTATTTAGCATTTAGTCTAGGGTGATTAAGTGGCTTTTGAGAAGAGTCTTAAATTGATTTTCAGACAGGGTTACTTTAGTATCTTCTGGTAATGAATTCCATATTTTGGGGCCCTTTATGCGCATAGAGTTTTTACACAGTGTAATATGGACACGAGGTACATCAAAAAGAGATCTGTGTCTTGTGTTATGGTCATCTGTCCTGCTAAGGTTGGTGAGGAGAAGTTTGAGTGGAGGGTTTATATTTGGGTGTATTGTTCTGTGTATGTAGTAGGCACATGAATAAGTATGGATGTTCTTAATGGTGAGCAGATTCAGACTTTTGAAAATTGGTGGAGTATGCTGGTGGGAGTGGGAATTTGTTATTCTGACTGCTGCCTTTTGCTGGGTTATTAGAGGTCTTAGGTGATTGAATGTTGTTGATCCCCATGCACAAATTCCATAGGTGAGATAAGGTTATATGAGTGAATGGTACAGTGCCAGGAGAGGTGATTGTGGAATGTAGTACCTTATCTATGATAGTATGCTTACAGTCTTAGAGATTTTCTTGGTGATTTGTTGTTTGTGTGTCTGGAACTTAAGGCTACTGTCAAGGTGGATACCTAGGAATTTTCCCTCTGTGAGTCTTGTGACTGGTGATCCATTTAGCGTTATGTTAATCAGATCATTTGCAGCTTTGTTTCCAAATTGAATGAAATAGGCTTTATCAGTATTCAGGGTAAGTTTATTAGTCATCAACCAGGCAGATATTTTCCGCAATTTGGCATTGACAGTGTTTGCTAGTATGACTGGATTTGGGTGGGAGAAGATGTATGTAGTGTCATCTACAAATAATATGAGTTTGAGTAGCTGTGATGCATTCAGCAGATCATTGATGTAGATGAGAAAGAGGAGTGGTCCAAGGACACTTCCTTGTGGGACTCCTACTGTGATTGGTTGGGTGGAAGAGTTTGCACCATTTGCATACACATATTGAGTTCTGTTACTAAGGTATGACTTTAGGTAGTTGAGGGAGTGGCCTCTGATACCATAGTGTGTTAATTTGGAGTACAGCAGTTCATGGTTGGCTGTATCAAAAGCTTTACGTAAATCAATGAAAATGCCCAGAAGGACTTCTTTCTTTTCGAGTGCGGTATATATTAGTTCTGGCATGGGTATGATAGCATCATTTGTGCTTTTATTATTCCTGAATCCAAACTGACAAGGGTTTAATATGTTGTGTGAGACGTGGTAGGAATAGATCCGTCTATGAACTAATTTTTCAAAGATTTTAGAGAACAATGGTAAGTTAGATATTGGTCTATAGTTATTCAAGTCAGCTTGGTCACCTCCTTTATGGATCGGAGTGACCCTCACTATTTTGAGGATTGTTGGGAAGGTAGATGATTCAATGGATTTGTTAAAGTGTTGCAATAATTGGTGACAATACTTGAGAAGCTTTTTTGTACATAAAAGCAGGCAAGTTGTTTATGTCTCCTGCTTGTTTTTAAGGGTGTTGATGATGAGCGAGACTTCTAGTGGGTTGGTTGGAGCTAGGAGCAGCATATTTGGGTAGGTACCTATGAGGTATTTTGATGGACAAGTGTTTGAGCTTGGTATTTTTTTTGCTAGATTTTTTCCTATGGTGGAGAAGAAAACATTGAGCCTGTTTGCTGTTTCAGTTGGTTGTGAGTAGGGGTTCGTCTGATTTTGTTAGTTTGTTTGGGTTTTTTTTTTGGATAACTTTTTAGTTCCAAGAATTTCAGATAGAGTTGTTAAGGTTTTTTCATATCACCTTTGATGTTATGTAACCCATTTTCATAATACAATTTTTTAGATCTTATCAGGCTGGTAAGAGGCTGATGAGTATGTTTAGACTCTAGTTATTAGACCCATTCTATACTGTTTTTCTATTTGTGCTTTGTGTTAATGGATTTTGAGGATGCTGGGAGTTACCCAGGGCCCTATTCAGTCCCCTTTGCTGTGATCTGTTTAGTTTTTGGGGGCAATGTTTGTTGTAGAGGCATTGGGTTTTTTTAGAAAATTATTTATACATTCATTCATATCTGTATATGTTTCGAGTTCATTTTGCCAATCATGTTATTCATAGCTGCTATAAAGTTGTCAACAGCTGTCTCATTTGGTAGTCTGAAGGTTACTTTAGTAATGTCTTGTGGCAATTTACCCAGATTAGTTATGAGAAAGTTTTGGGTAGTGGTCTGTATTGTTGTCTGGATTATGCCTGATTTAAAGGGGATATGGTGTTTGTCCAGATGTGGTCTTTTAACCCTTTGAGGGTCAACAGGCCCTCTCAGAAACTCCTTCTCAGGGTCGGCCAAATTTAAAAAAAAAAAAGTTATTTTTTCTTATGAAAAAAGAGTTTTTTTTTTCTAAACATTATAGGCTAAACAAAAAAATTTTATCGTCAATACTTACCGAGATATGGAGGCGTGAAGTTGCCAAAATTGAACAACATCTGGTAAACTCGCCAAACTGCCGTCACCCGGTTTTTTCTATTTACTTTTTTATGTACTATTTCAATTATTTTTTAATTTTTCTTTTTCTGAGTAACTTTTATGGCCTCTGAGGCCAACATGATCA